CCAGAATCCCCCATATAAATGAATGGTACTGGTTTCCTTACCTGCTGCCATTCTGTCTCATGAAAGGTTTCATGAAGAGCACTCTACTTTTGGGTGGCATTTAGAACATCAAGCACAGCACTGTTATTTCAGAATTCTCACGTATCACATAGGCTCCCTGGTGGCACAGTGGTTACATGTTCAGTTGCTAATTGTAAGGTCAGCAATTCAAAACCACCAGCCACTCCTCAGGAGAAAGACAGGGCCTTTCTATTCTCATAAGAGCAGCCCTGGTGATGTAGTGGTTAAGCATCGGGCTGCGATCTGCATGGTTGGCAGTTCAAAACCACCAGCAGTTCCTCAGGACTAAGACCGGGCTGTCTACTCAGGTAAACAGTCTCAGAAACCCAGGGTATTGCTGTAAGTCAGTGCTGATTCAATGGCAGCATGTTTTGGTTTTTCTACTCCCATAAATAACAGTAGCAGAAACTCACGGGGGCAGTTCTACCTCGTCCTATTATTGAGTTTCTGGTTGTGGTTTGGTATTACAAGGGGCTTTATTTCCTAGAAGCAACATCTACATAGCCATAGGTCATCTATCTAATGAATAAACGTCTGGATCTGAGCTGTTACAATGTTACTTATTTGTTTTTTATATCTCCTTCCTAAGCGAGACTGGATACACTAACCTTTAAGGCTTAGTATCAGGACATACTGGCTCAAAGAACAAGTTGGAAAGGCGTGTACATGTGTCTGGGCTGTAGAGCAATGTAACAAAGAACAGATCTGTTCTGTCAGGAGGAAACAGAACCCAGCCATTACACTGACTCAAGCCTGGGGCTCAGGGTGGAGGGGCAGAGATCCGAAAGTCACTGTTGCCATTTCTGTTAGTGAAACAAAGTTAGTGTGAGTGTGTTAAGTCAATCTCTTCTGAGACAGAGACTAAACAAGCAAGTGACAGAAGCAAAAATGGGATGAGAGCCCCTGGGCCACAAGGAGCAGAAGTCCAGAGAGACAAGGACCTGCCCTAAGAGTCCACAGAGTCAGCATCCCCAGGAGCTGGGCCCTGAAACCCGACTTCTGGCCTCCTAAACTGAAAATACAAATGCCTGCTTGTCACTACCTCAGCCAAGGAGGTACTATGGGATTTCCGTGTTCCGGAACACATCTTGCCCACGTGCACCTGCCCGAGTGGAGGGTAGAGCCTGTGTCAACATTGTCAGAAGACCAGATCCAGAGAGTGGCTGTCCCTCAGTCAGTGACAGAGAAGGAGCGATGTCCAGGCTCTGCTGCCAAGAACATGTGGACCAGCTGCGCACTGGAGAAGCACCCACGCCTCCATCCATCCCAGTCGACAAGCCGTGAAAGGAGAGCCCTGGCCCTTGGCCGGGACCCGTTTGCCATTGTTTTCTTACACAACATTAGAACCTTTTCAAAGGAGCTTCCCAGGGACACCTTCACTCTGGTCTATAAGCTCAAAGTAAACCCACAAGAGGAATCTCATTGTTTCCTTTTTTCTTAAGGAAAAGTAACAAAACACAGAGTTCTTAACTGAGAATTAAAAGCACAGGTTATCTCTTCCCCAAGGCTCCTTGCAGTTAAAAAACCCAACTACCCCCTCAAGCAGGTGCCCCGCCCCACCAATTTAGGGCTGGGCAGGGTTGTTTCGCTGCATTCAAGGGCCCCTAAAGCTTCTTGTGCAATGTCTCTGCTCTTTCCGTAGCCTGCAGGAACCCGGGGCACTCCAAGAACACCTGCCATCTAGAGCTCTCTCTTTGGGATTTGCAGTAATTACTGGTGACCCCTGCCTCTGGGAAAGAGAAGGCTGTCAAGGGGGGCAGGTTGAGACCTGCCCAAAGGGCCTGCTAAGCAGTGTCCCTCTGAATTTGGTCAGGTCGCCATGACATTTGGGGCCAGCTGCCTGCCAGACTATTTATGGAACACAGGTTAGGGAAACCATAAAGAGTGTCAAGTTTCCCAACAGGAGGAACTGGCCTCTTGGATTTCCCGAGACATTATATTTAGTCTGAATTTAACATCAGCCTCCAAATGTCATAGAGCAACCCCATCCCAGTGGCCCTCGCCATTACCGCCACCGGGAACTGGGGAAGACTTGGTCTGCAGGTCAAAACAATTCCCGAACAGCCCTGCCCCAAATGCATTCTCACACGTGTGGGGAAGGGTGCTGTTGGCTCCCTTCCAATGTGCCAGAGCCCCTGGAGCAGACGGGCTGAACACACAGTGCTGACCAGTAGGGTCTGTATCATATACCAGAGATTGACCTAGAGTCCTGGCGACTCAACCCGCAAGGTTGGTGATGAAACCCACCAGCCACTGCTCTGTTCCTGTAAAGAATACACCCAAGAAAGTCCAGTGAGGAAGCTCTACTGTCACAGAGGGCACGGAATTGAAACACACTCAGCAACAACAAATCCACCAGGGCACTGGACACAGCCCTTACACACATTAGTGGGAACCCTTCTGGCCTGCGCAGCTATCTTGGGTCAGAAGCAGGCTGTGGGATGACCCCTGGGGTCAACACTGCAGTGCAGAATCCCTGGAGCAGGGCTGTCAAACACGAAGGCCCAGAGGAATTCCATGAGCATCCTTCCTTTGTGAAGACTAATGCTAGTCACAGCTGTGGGAAAAACATAACCAGCCACAAAGCAAAAATCAGTCTTCTGTGGTGAAGCAGAGGGGAGTGAGGAGGCTGCGGGGAGGGCAGAGGAGAGGGGAGATGGGCCAGGGAAGCAAATTTCCACACCGGGCAGTATACCAGGATTCATACTTGCCCACTAACTGTGGTTACATGAACAGCACCCTCCCCACCGGCCCACCTGCCCAGCCGCAGCTCACCTCGTGGGTTCCATGAGAGAAGTTCATGCGAGCCACATTCATTCCAGACTTGATCATCTCCTTCAGCATTTCCACGGACCGGGAAGCTGGGCCTATTTTACAAAGAAAGTAAGGTTTAATAAAGTCACAAAGACCAACTATTCTGAGCAGGGAAAATATAAATAATTTACTTTTTTTTTCTTTCTTTCTTTTTCTCCCCTAATGTTTCCAACCTAAAATGGCTTTAAAAAGTCTTTCAAATTGCTTAAATGTTTACTGTGTTCATCCACTTTCTAGATTTCCTTTAAAATCTCAGGTTATCGTCAAATTAGGAAAGTAGATAAAAAAGTAGGCTTAGTATTGGGCTGCTAACTGCAGAGTAGGCGGTTCAAACCCACCAGCCGCCCCACGCGAGAAAGATGAGGTGGGCCACTCATGTGGGGTTCAGCCTCAGGAACCAGATGGAGCATTTCCACCGTCCTGGGGGGGGGGTCTCTGTGATGGAATTGGCTTGATGGCTTTGGGCTGGGTATTAGGTTTGCTCTCTCCGAAGTCCAGCCTGATGCCCTGACCATGGAGCGTGGATGTACAGAGAGATTGAACATTCCTGGATCTCTCAGATGTTCCAAATAAGAGCCACTACAGTGATCCTCAAACGTTTATCAGGGCACAAAGACAGAACATAATCACTCTCTATCACAACTTCCTATCGCCCATAGTGATCCGTGCAGCCGCCCCTGGGTCTCTTCAGACTTTTCAGGAAAGGGACAGTCACTGTCCCATGAAGCCCTTGCGTGCTGGGGGCATAGCCTGCTCACCGATGGTGCAGATGATGCCAGTGTTCCGGGCAGTGATGGGGGCTGAGTCGATGTCCAGGCGGCACATGTGCTCCAGGAAGGTGTCAGCCATGGCTGCGTGCAGCTGCTGGGTCTGGATGAAGGCAGATCCCTCTTC